TAGTATAAATAGCAGAAAATCCTGCTATTTTAACATAGTGTAAATAGAATCTATCGCTATCTGCACTTAGTGTAAATAGCATATTGTTAAAAATACTGCTATTTTCACTTAGTGTAAATAGACTCTATCGCTATTTACACTTACTGCAAATAACCGCTGCCTTTTTTTCCCCCCACTTAATTTAGGTGAATAATAAGTGAATAAAGTAGGAGGTTGCAAGTTAGGGACAGCGATATCTTTATATTATTTCCATAACTCAATATTTGGACTCATTGCGGTTTATTTATTTTTAGATTGTTTTGTTTTGTTTTTCAATATCTGGCAACGCCAGCATAACTGACAGTAATCAAAAATGACCAGGTTAAAAACAGTGCCGGCAGGTTATTCCTGACAGGATACAATTCGGTAACACAAACGTAGTGATCATCATGATATATTATTATCTTTAAGACAGATGCACTGAAGACGGACACAAAGAGGAGAGAATAGTCGCGCAAGCAGAGAAAATACAGTACCAGACAGAACAAATTCATTGTTATTAAATGGATGCCACCTTATTGGGACAATAAAGCCCTCCCTAACCCTACCCGATACTTTATTTTCAACTTTTTGATTGTTTCCTTAATTTTTATTGAAAATAAATGCGTTTCTGATGTGATATGAGATTTGAAAAGGAAGAGAAAAAGTTCGGTAAAAGGCAGATTCGAACCCGGGTCGATCGCGTCAAAAACACCACGGAGCGCGCATTACCATCTACACCACTGAAGCTGACAATTAAGTGCCGTCTTTTATAGTGTTGACTATCCCTAAAACACATTTGTGGATGGAGCTACTGTAAATTGCCTCTATCAACAAGGCGGGCTATTTGCACTTAGTGTAAATAGACACTCCGGGGAAAAAAAATCCATAATGCGTGATAATGCGTGTATCTGGCAACTCGACTGAGGCTGAGCCCGCGTCCTCAATCACAACTCGCTCAAGGGACGAGGCCATGTAACCTTTTCACGATGATAATAT